TACCTAAACCCGCAGTATCCCGGAATCGTGATAAAATAAAGAGTGTCTGGAAGCACGTATCTTGTTGGAAAAAGTCAGGCAAATTTGTCAGGGCTCGAACGTGGACACAAATGGAATATCAGGGCGGACGGTACGCACGGATATCCGGAGCTGGTAACACACGATCAGAGGGCTGAAGAAGGATCAAACACGGACAGATATAAACGGAGCGAGAATCGGTTGGAAATTGGGAACAGACGTGGAATCGTAACAACAAGAGAGAAAGGAGAGCCGACGGATGGAAGAAGAGGGAAATATAGAAAGACAGAGAAGGCGAAAGGGCGAGAAGAGGGACGGAGGCTGAGCGCAAATTGCTTGAGGTTTCCGGCAACTGGCGCTAATTGAATTCCCCGATGAATCGAACTCTGCATAGCGCAACCGAACGGAATATTGGCTCTTTTCAACGACGCTTCAAATGGACGATCGTCGACGTAGCTAGCCGACCATCGGATCCCACTTTACCCGGAGGCGAAGCCCCTCTCTCTGTGTTCTAACCTTCCGATCGAACGGACACGGTCACGGTTTAACGCGTTACACCGGACCCAATCACCGTAATATCTCTGTGCACGCGTGACGCTTTCAAATGCGCCATATAATTACTGAGAGAGTGATAGAAAGTACGGAAGAAACCTAACCTGACCATCTAATTCAATCTCACCTAACACAATCTCAACTTACAATGTTCAAACGTAATGCTGATCTAACCTAACTTCACACAATGTGCCCTGATCAAACCCAACCTAACTGTTCTGTTCCAATTTAACCTAACATCAAACAATTTACACTAACTTGACCTAACATAAGTGCCTCGTACTAACCTAACCTAACGTCAAACAACTCGTACTGAACTGACCTAACCTAACAGGCCTGCACTGATCTAACATAACGTCAACCAATTTGAACTAATATAACCTGACTTAACTGATTTGTACTAATCTAATCTAACGTCAAACAATTTGCACTAATTTGACCTAACCTAACTGGTCTGTGCTAATCTAACCTAACGTCAAACAATTTGGATTAATTTGGCCTAACCTAACTGATTTGTAGTAATCTAACCTAACGTCAAACAATTTGGACTAATTTGACCTAACCTAACTGATTTGTACTAATCTAACCTAACGTCAAACAATTTGCACTAATTTGACCTAACCTAACTGATTTGTACTAATCTAACCTAACGTCAAACAATTTGGACTAGTTTGACCTAACCTAACTGATTTGTACTAATCTAACCTAACATCAAACAATTTGAACTAATATGACCTAACCTAACTGATTTGTACTAATCTAACCTAATGTCAAATAAATTGGACTAATCTAACTTAACCTAACTTGTCAGTAACCTAACTGCATGTATGGTTAGGTTAGGTCTGAAATTTGAACAAACCTGACGAGATATGAATGACAAAATTATACATAGTAGTTGATTGCCACTAATATCAATACAATCGATGTATCGTTAAGTATCAATAGATACCAATCACAATCGATACATTTACCGATAGTCGATAGCGGCTGTATTACGTAGGAGGATCTCGAAATTGGGGAAAACCGTTGAAGGAGGTTTACGAGATCACACGAACGGGCTGAAGAGAGCGAAGTCAATATATAACACATCGAATCCAAGGATCCTCTTCGTCATCTCAGCAGTTATTACCCGATGAGCTTCGATAAGTTTCAGGATCGATTCTCGAACGTCAGCCCGGTCGACAAGACTAATTTTTCTCCTCTCTCTCTTTTTTCGCCGATTCGCTGCCAGCTTGTAATATTTTCCATGTCGACACGAACACACTCGACAAATTTATTCGCAGCCGATGCTCTCTCTTTTTCAGTCGATTCGAATCGTCCGTAAATCGTCCGTACAGCCTTGCTTGTACAGAATCCATTGATTAAATACAGAACCTCTTTTAAATTGCTACTCTACAGAACTTCTGTGTCCCAGAAGAAATGGACAAGGTTTTGTCTTCGATGCACAGCTTTTCTTATCGGGGAAACGAATCGATGAAAGTTTTCCAACTAGGACACTACCGCTTTGAATGTACAATTCCAATAAAAAATAACTGAACTCGTTCGTTTGGAGAAAGAATAATTTGTTTGAACTAAAGTTCGGAAGAATAAAAATCATTGGAGATCGGTGAGGGACTTTCAATTTATTTGTACATGGTTCTATTTTTATGTATTCTACACTTGATTTTTGGGGACGTGCAATTTCTAAATTATGTCATTTCAAAAATTGCAAGTGTATGATTCTCTTAAGTTGCAGATTTTTCAAATGCTCTATGTTCTTAAGTAGTCAAACCGAATCCCTTGAGGCGCTTTCATGGTTGCGCGCATTGCCGCTAGATGGCGCAGGAGATCGAGAAACTTTCTCGCAGGTGTTTGAGTCTTGCGACGCCTACAAATAGGTACGGTGTGCCCTGTTTAAGACAGGGGCCTGCTAGTATGCATTATTGAGTGCACTAGCAGGTCCCGGATGGATGACTCCATCCTCATTTTTTGAGCCTACTATTCCTTCTACCTAGACCGATAATCCCTATATTTCTAATTATATAAATACCTATGTATAAAAGTATTTATGTGCCCTAATCACTACGACCTGAAATTGCTATGTTTTGAGCTACGACTTCTGGGTTCCTACGTCCGCAAGTCCCTACGTCCCAGTATCCCTACATCTCAATGTCCCTACGTCCCCAAAACCTTGCATCCCCAAATTCCTATGTCCCCTAAATCCCTGCGTCCCCAAATCCCCACGTCCCCAAAACCTTGCATCCTCAGATCACTACGACCCCCAAATTCCTACGTCCCCAAAACTTTGCATCCCCAAATCCCTACGACCCCCAAATCTCCACGTCCCCAAATCCCTACGACCCCATAATCCCTACGTCCCCAAAACCTTGCATCCCCAAATTCCTACGTCCCCTAAATCCCTGCGTCCCCAAAACCTTGCATCCCCAAATTTCTATGTCCCCTAAATCCCTGCGTCCCCAAAACCTTGCATCCCCAAATTTCTATGTCCCCTAAATCCCTGCGTCCCCAAATCCCCACGTCCCCAAAACCTTGCATCCTCAGATCACTACGACCCCCAAATTCCTACGTCCCCAAAACTTTGCATCCCCAAATCCCTACGACCCCCAAATCTCCACGTCCCCAAATCCCTACGACCCCATAATCCCTACGTCCCCAAAACCTTGCATCCCCAAATTCCTACGTCCCCTAAATCCCTGCGTCCCCAAAACCTTGCATCCCCAAATTTCTATGTCCCCTAAATCCCTGCGTCCCCAAATCCCCACATCCCCCAAATCCTCACGTCCCCATGTCCCCAAAACTTTGCATCCCCAACTTTCCACCTCCCCAAATTCCTAAATCTCTAAATTTGAAAACAGTCCAACAAAAAATAAATAAGTGATATATACCTCCATATATCGCTATCTGCCCTAAAGGATCCCAACATGCACGAGTGTAACTCTTTCCAATGCATGCACCACATCCACTTCGCCCTTCGTATACGGCACATTCTCCATGCTTCATGTTCACACATCAAGGGCGAATAATGCGAAAGATTGTAAATTCCCTCCATGGGGATTATTAAATTCCATTCTGTGTTATTTCTGGTTCAGTAGAAACGAATGCGATCCAGCGTACCTAACCTCTTCCTTCCCCGGAAGAGCCGTACGTGGCAGGTAATAAATACTTCCGGACAAATTGCTTCGACTATTTGACATCTCCAGTCGCCTCGGTGCGACGACCTAATAACAGTCAGCTACGGGAATTTGCGGCATGCAGATCGCTCGTCTGCCTATTTACGTTGCGCTCTACTGGTTAAAAAATGAAATTTCCAAATAGTAACAGAGACAAAATAAAATTAGTTTTAAACATTATAGGTTTTTTATTTTTCCATAAAAATCACGTTTGTCAGGATCGCGCAATTTTTGAAACACACTGTAGAACGTTAACGCGGTGATATATCGTGAGAGCTTTTAAGGAAATTGCATTAACAAGTCTAAGATGATACTTCCGTTGAATGTACCGATGCGGGGGAGAAGTTTTGTCGTATACCTCTCCGCAAGCTTTTCTTTTATCCTCAGTTTCATTACTGTCTTTTTTCTTGATGCTTCTTCTCCACACCCGGGTCCCATTACGCTGCTTGTTCGATGGTTCAAATTACGCTAACGTGTCACTAGAGAAATTCGATTTCGCGATGAAGAAATCACTGTTTTAAAGATGTGGACGCTTGAGAGTGCGGGGATTTGATTTTTATGGCGTTTGGGAGATAGGAAGATGCAAATGTGGGGAGGTAAGGATTTGGTGACTTAGGGAGGAGACTTAGAAATATGAGGACTTATGGGTATTAGAGCTTGAAGATTTATGTGTTTGGGGACTTGTCCGAATTTGGGGGATGGAGGAGCTTGAGATGTGGAGGTTTGGATATGTGGACCTGAGGATATGTGGACCTGGGAGTATATGTGGACCTGAGGATATGTGGACCTGAGGGTATGTGGACCTGAGGGTATGTGGACCTGGGAGTACATGTGGATCTGGGTGTATGTGGACCTGAGGGTATGTGGACCTGGGAGTATATGTGGATCTGGGAGTATGTGGACCTGGGAGTATGTGGACCTGGGAGTATGTGGACCTGAGGGTATGTGGATCTGGGAGTACATGTGGATCTGGGGGTATGTGGACCTGGGAATATGTGGACCTGGGAATATGTGGACCTGGGAATATGTGGCCTTGGGAGTATATGTGGACCTGGAAATATGTGAACCTATCCACACGTGGACCTAGGCATATATGGACCTGCAAACAAAGACCTGTAACATGTGGATACCCAAAAATATTTAACAAGAACTTACTTCAAAAATGCCAGAAAGAAAAATCAGTTTACATTCATCGTCCCAGATTTTTCCCAAGGAAATTTCTGCTAAAATCTCCGAGTAAACGTTTCTCCATTGTTTCAGGCGCTAACAATGTAAACGAGCCGCCTATCCTGGAGGGCGGAGGGTATCCCGCAGGTCTGACACTGTCGGAATCGACCAAAGTTGGCACGGAAGTTTTTGTCCTTAAGGGCCATGATCCCGAGGGATCGCCCGTGAAATATGGTATACAACTAACGGACTACTTTGTCGTAGAACCAACCACTGGCGTTATCAAATTGGCCAAACCTTTAAATCGTGAGGTGCGTATTTTTTCTTTTCACTTTAACATTTAGAGAAAACACCCGTTGGTACTGTATTAATACAATGGTTAAAGCATCATTTGGACAGAGGGTTCGCTTAGATTGATGGCCTGGAGGCTTCACCCGAGTTGAACGCGTTAAGCCTTGAACAAATAGCTGATTGTACGACCACAGATGCCGCCACTCACCTAGAAGAACATTACATCACCACAGATTCTATTAGATGCTGGTCCAAGCGCCTTCTGGCGAATCCACCTACCTGAACCGCATCCTTATTCCCTTCAGCATTGTCGTTTCCAGGTGCGCCCTGAAACGTTGATTACCCTCCTCTGAGATATCTCCTGGATTTACCCGTATCGATCACCTCCGTTTTGTTCTCCCTCTTCAATCATCCCCAAGTGGCGCACTTTCTGTTTTATGGCTCCCATCAGCAGGCTAACTCGCTATCCTTGATTGACGCGTATTCTTCAACAGCAGTTTGTTTACGAAATTTTCTGTTCTCAGGAATACGACACGATACGCTTTCGCATCACACTGGAGGACGAAGTCCCGGCGGGTCAGCAACCGAACATCGTCGGCGTTGACGCGTTCGTTATCGTCCTCGATGAAAACGACAACCCCCCGCGTTTCCTGGGTGTGCCATACGAGGCCGTGGCCGTGGAGGACCTTCCAGTTGGGTCGACCATTCTTCCGGGGATTAGGGTGATGGACCCCGACATGTTGGGCGACACCATAGATCTCACCTGCGTCCCGCAGCCACAGGTGAGCCATTAGGGCTACCACCTGTAGATATGCAAGAATTAATTGCATGGCACATTTAAGAAATCACGGAATGATACTTGAAAATGTTTAGAAAGAAGAAACGATACAGTTATGAACATTGGTATACTAACCTAACCTGACTGAATACTGATCGTATTTAAGCTCATAACCTCTGCTGTTCCCACAAATAAAATTGATAAACTAACCTAATCTAACATAATCATATATTGGTCATATTCAAGCTCATAACCTATGCTGTTCCCATGCATGAAATTGGTAAACTAACCTAACCTAACCTAACCATATACTGATCCTATTCAAGCTCATAACCTCTGCTGTTCCCACAAATGAAATTGATAAACTAACCTAATCTAACATAATCATATATTGGTCATATTCAAGCTCATAACCTATGCTGTTCCCATGCATGAAATTGGTAAACTAACCTAACCTAACCTAACCATATACTGATCCTATTCAAGCTCATAACCTCTGCTGTTCCCACAAATGAAATTGATAAACTAACCTAATCTAACATAACCATATATTGGTCATATTCAAGCTCATAACCTATGCTGTTCCCATGCATGAAATTGGTAAACTAACCTAACCTAACCTAACCATATACTGATCCTATTCAAGCTCATAACCTCTGCTGTTCCCACAAATGAAATTGATAAACTAACCTAATCTAACATAACCATATATTGGTCATATTCAAGCTCATAACCTATGCTGTTCCCATGCATGAAATTGGTAAACTAACCTAACCTAACCTAACCATATACTGATCCTATTCAAGCTCATAACCTCTGCTGTTCCCACAAATGAAATTGATAAACTAACCTAATCTAACATAACCATATATTGGTCATATTCAAGCTCATAACCTATGCTGTTCCCATGCATGAAATTGGTAAACTAACCTAACCTAACCTAACCATATACTGATCCTATTCAAGCTCATAACCTCTGCTGTTCCCACAAATGAAATTGATAAACTAACCTAATCTAACATAACCATATATTGGTCATATTCAAGCTCATAACCTATGCTGTTCCCATGCATGAAATTGGTAAACTAACCTAACCTAACCTAACCATATACTGATCCTATTCAAGCTCATAACCTCTGCTGTTCCCATACATGAAATTGATAAACTAACCTAATCTAACATAATCATATACTGATCATATTCAAGCTCATAAACTCTGCAGTTCCCATAAATGAAATTAGTAAACTAACCTAACCTAACCATGTACTGATCCTATTCAAGTTCATAACTTCTCCTTTTCCAATAAATAAAATTGGTAAACTAACCTACTCTAACCTGACCAAATACTGACCGTATTTAAGTTCATAACCTCTCCTTTTCCCATGAATGAAGTTGGTAAACTAACCTAACTTAATCGAATACTGATCGTATTCAGGTTCATAACCTCTCCTTTTCCCATAAACGAAGTTATTATCCCTATTTTCTATTCTCCTCTCACACCGTACTATCTTCTGCTCTGCTTCTCCATATTTCCATACTTCATTGCTTATCCTGCCCCAGAGCGGTGCCTTGTTACCCTTTAGCGTGCTTATCACCTTCATTACTTTCCCCAATCCGATTTCGTTCCCCGGATGTTCTCCTTCCTCCGTTACCACTGTATTTTCACCTCCTATTTTCCATGCCCTCTGTTGGCTTCATTTATTCTCATCTTTCTTGTCCATCCCTTTCCAGGGATTATTATCGAATAATCAGCTTCTGTTCTACGGCTGTTTCTTTCACTTTCCCTTTCTTGACTGTTCTGGGCATATTAGCACCCGTTTTGTATGTAAGATACGTTTAAACAAATACCACGCAGTATCGCGGGCAGCTAACCCTCCAGAATGTTGGAATCAAGTTTACGGTTCTGTTACAGTTTCTCGACGCTTGCGAGAAGTTTGGTATAGTGGATGTGGAGAGAAGTCAAAATGCGTATGTGGGTGCCTTGGTGCTGCAACAACCACTTGACTACAGGGAGAGACCTTTCTACCAACTGTTACTCAGAGCAAGTGTAAGTAAAGCTTCCAAGTTAATTAATCTCTTGTGCTCTCATCACTTTAATGTAATATACCAAACCTCATAATGTTTCTGGTGAAATGTCATATTGCGTTAAGTGATGTTAAGCTATGAATTCTTTACAACTGTTATAAGATTGTAATAACTTTTTAATTATTTATATATGCTTACAGGATGGGTTGAACAATGAGACCACAGGAGTGGAAATCAAGGTGGGAGATATTCAGAACAGTCCTCCAGAATTTCTAGACTCTTTGACCGGTGTGGTACATGAAGATGCTCCAATTGGTACACTGGTTATGACCGTTAAAGCTAGAGATGGAGACAGAGGATTGCCAAGGAAGATCATTTATGAATTAGTCAACAGTAAGTATTGTTGAATCACCAAACTTAACCTTTAAAGTTAAATGTGTTATAACATCTATACAAAATCTTGCATATTTTCTGCTACCTTTTAGATCCATTTGACTATTTCCTTCTGGACGATGAGACAGGAGAATTAAGAACAGCGAAGCCTCTAAACAGAGAAGCATTAAAGGATTCAACAGGAGTACTAAAATTGAAAGTGAAAGCACGTGAACTAATTGATGGTATTCCGGGTAATGATAATTTAACAGTATCAACAGCAGAAGCAACGGTGACAATAAAAGATGTCAATGATGAACCGCCTACTTTTAATCATCGCGAGTACAATATTGAAATTCCAGAAAATGTAATGAATGGTACACCTTTGCGTAATCTAGACATGACTGTCAGAGACCCTGATATTGTAAGTACCATTTTACTGCCATGTTTAGCATGAAATTATAATAAAATTATAATCTACTTCTGTTGCAGGGGTTGAACTCAGTATTCTCTTTACGTCTAGAAGATATTACAGATGGTGCATTTACCATTGAGCCAACTGTGGCTACTGGAAGTACGTCTGTAAACATTCGCGTTGCGAATGGTTCTCTTGATTATGAGAATCCTAACCAACGTAAATTCATCATTCTTGTAAGTTTTTGTTCAACTGCACATTTATAATTTAGGTAGCATAATTTATAAATAACAATGCAATTTTTAGGTTGTTGCAGAAGAGATTCACACAAATCCTAAACTTACCTCCACTGCAACTGTAACCATTGCCATTACTGACGTAAATGATAATTCACCAACATTCAGTAGTCCTACGTATACAGCTGTAATTTCAGAACTTGCATCTCCAGGGATGCCAGTTATAACAATCACTGCCAAAGACAGGGACAGTGGACGGTGAGAAATGTTCCTAACTTAACTCTTAAATGTTCCTAATTAACTATTGAACCTAGGTTGACTAGGTTAAGCTACAAAACCTACGTTAGCTTAATAAAAAATTGTATTTTAGATTTGGTACAGCTGGAATAGCGTACCAGTTACTAGGACAAGGTGCCCAACACTTTTCTGTAGACCGTAAGACTGGAACTATCACTGTGGCTCCTTGTCCAACTCCTGGAACATCACCTTGCTTAGATTATGAGGAGCAGACAGAATATTTCCTCACCTATAAGGTACTTATGTAAAATAATTTGAATAACTTGTAAATGGTTTGATTGTTGTTCTGCGATAGATAAAAATGGAGGGTATAATTCATTTACTAATTTTTAATGATTTTCATTCTCTTGCATGTAATGATCTTGCATGTACAGTTTTAACCCTCAAAATCTGTACACTACCCAAATTGAATCATTACTAATTTTACTTATCTTAGTCGTTTTCTTACTAATTTTGAATTATTTTCCTTTTCTTGCATGTACAGCGATAAGTCTACAAGATGTGATTGTATTTGTTCTTCGACGTGCACTACACAGTTTTTTGCATAAATGTACATAAATTAGTAAACTACTGTGGAGTTACTTAGGTATCTTATACATTAATAACTCATTAAAAACTATATTTCTTCATTACTAATTTTTTCACTATCTCATTTTTCCTATACAGCAATACATCTTTAAGATGTGATTTTATTATATAAATAAATAAAATAAGGCAAGTAAGATTAAATATAATGCTTCAAATATTTATTTTCTTCTTTGTTAGGCAACTGATGACGATGGTCAGGGACAAACAGCAAGCGTTTCGCTGCGCATTAACTTATCAGATGCCAATGACAATCCGCCACGCTTCTTGCAAGACAAATATCGCGCCGTTATAGATGAAGGAGCCGATAAATTTGAGCCTGAGTTAATAGTACAAGCCAGAGACAAAGACAAAACATCTAAAATTACATATGCAATAGTAGGTGGCAATGATTTGGATTTTTTTGCAATAGATCAAGATTCTGGTGAAATTACAGTAAAAAGAAAAGGTCTACTCAATTTAACAAACTCGACTCATGATTGGATTGCACTGGTTGTACAAGCAAATGATGGGATATTTGTGGATCCCACTACTGTCAACATTACAATCCGTGATGTCAATAATAACGCGCCAGTTTTCCCACATGACCTGTACACTGCTAGTATACCGGAAATATCACCAATTGGTATGCCTGGATTTGGTTAATAATTACACTTGAAATATAAATGATCATGTACTATAATTTTCTATGTTTTATACAGGGACGATAGTAGAAGAGGTGACAGCCACAGATGCTGACACAGGGATTAATGCAGAGCTGATCTACAGAATACAAAAGGGAGCTTTTGATGATTTTACAATTAATGAAACCACAGGCGTTGTAACAGTATTTAGAAAATTAGACTATGACAATAAAAATACGTATCACATAGAGGTTATAGCATTGGATAAAGGTATGTGAACACATGAAGAAAGGTATCATGTAATTATCATGTAACCTAACCATCACAACCTAACCTTTTTTCTGCAGGAACTCCCAGTTTAACTGGAACAACGACATTAATGATAAATGTGGAAAACAGCAATGACAAAGCCCCATATTTTACTCCTGAAACGCAAAGAGCCGAAGTCACAGAAGACACTCCCATTGGTACAGTGTTTACCACGCTAAAAGCCACTGATCCAGACAGTGCTAGTTTAGAGGCACTAAATTTTGCCATTTCTGAACCCATCACAGCAATTGATAGAAACGGCCAACGAGTGAATGACAGTAAATCTTTTAAGGTATGTTCAACATTAAAGTCTACTTTTCATGCTTGTAACTTAATTATATTTTGCAGGACTTCTTTGCCGTTGATCGTGCAACAGGTCAAGTTTCAGTAGTTAGGCCTTTGGACCGTGACACTGCAGCCACAATAAGTATCACCATTGTTGTAAGCGATACGACAGCACCCACTTTACAGCAAGGAAGAGGTCCATATTGCATACACTTTTATATAGCATACAATTATATTCAAACGTAATTCAAATTTGATGTAACTTTTTTATTTGAAATCAGGTACACTGGTTGTCACAATTATTGATGTGAATCACTTGGCACCAGAGTTCTTGAAACCCTGGACAAGAGAAAATCCGAGGTATCTAATAGAAATGCAGGAAGAACAACCGACTGGAGCTGTTGTAGGAGCATTCACAGCAGTCGACGCGGACAACACCATAGCAGGATACGCAATTGTACCGCCAAGTCCATACTTCAGTATAGACAATGTCACAGGTTAACTACAAGTTTTGTCATTTTGTAGACATGCAAACAGCAAGGCATGACATGTTATATCTTCCACAGGTATTGTGCGGACTAGTCAGGTCATTGATTATGAAGAAACAAAACAGTTAGAGTTTACTGTCGTTGCCTACGATTCTGGAGTTCCTCAGTTATCCGCATCCGCGAAAGTGACAATCACTGTAATAAATGTTAATGACCAAAACCCCAAATTTGAGAAGGAATTATACAATGCGTCTGTGGAAGAAAATTCCCCACCGGGCACACATGTCATCACAGTTAAAGCAACAGATGGGGATGAAGGTCCATTTGGAGAAGTTAATTACAGCCTCATCGGTGATCACGCTGCTGACTTCAACATTGGTAAATGAAACTCTTCAAAACAAAGCACAGTAAAAATATTTTGTAAAAGCTAGTCTACATGATTTTCAGGGCACGAGACTGGCGAGATCACTGTTGGCAGCGCAACTGTTCTGGATAGAGAAGTAACTTCGAAGATCACTATCACTGTGCTGGCAAGTGACGGTGCTCCCATAAATTCTTGTCGAAGCAGCACAGTTCCAGTGGTCGTGAAACTTGTAGACGTTAATGACAATCGACCAATATTTACACAGCACAGCTACAGAGCATCCGTTGCTGAAAATTTATCCGTGAATCCACCAGCTCCTATTTTACAGGTAAGCTTCATCTTAATGTAACTTTAAATCAGCAAACATTAACAATGTGTTTCTCATAAGGTTAGAGCTGTAGATCATGACGAAGGAGTCAACGGAGAAGTGTGGTACACCATAATGCATGGAAACGAAAACGAATCGTTCTCTTTGAACCGTGAGACGGGTATTCTGTACCCTGGCGCAGCACTCCTCGGTAGAGCTGGATCTTACAGAATAAAGATAGAGGCGAGAGACGGCGCTGGCCATGGACCACATTCTGACAGGTGTTATGTCTACATACGGGTAACACCTGTCAATCAACACAAACCTCAATTTGTTCTACCCGAATTAAGCAATGCTACCGTCGAAGTGCCTGAAGTACGTACCTAACCTTACTGTACTTAACCTTACCTAACCTAACATATCAAGTCACTAAATCAAACATTATAACGAACGATGTTTTCCAGAATACTGGTGTGCCAAATTATTTAATATTAACGGTGAAAGCGATAGATAGAGATCCCGGTGAAAACGGCCACGTAAATTATCACTTAAAAGTGGGGAACCGAAATGTTCAGGAAACGGAAGAATTTTCCATAGACCAAGATACGGGCGAGTTAAGATCAAAGATTATTCTTGATCGTGAAGCGAAGAGTAAATTCGAGGTATGACACGAAAATGTACAGGTACCTAACCTAACCATTTTCAAAGATAATAACATTAAGGTTAATTTCAGCTTGTGCTAGTAGCCGCTGACCATGGTACACCCACAGCATACGAAACCCTGCGGCTACTAACCATACAATTAGTTGATACTAATGACAATGCGCCACAGTTTTTCGACGAGTATCATTTCCACGTGTCAGAAAATCGTCCTAAAGATTACTTTATAGGAAAAGTAACCGCGGAAGACAAAGACGAAGGCAGACATGCCAAAGTGTATTACTACATAGAAGCTGGTAAATAATGATTTGTAAATTTAGTTCAAATCGTACGTGGTCGTACATAGATACATTTTTTAGGGAACGAAGACTACGCTTTCTATCTGGACAAATCCGATGGCAGCATTTACGCGAACAAGTCGTTCGATCGCGAAGTCAGGGACAAGTACATTTTGTTGATACTAGCCTCTAATGATCCTAACATCTACATCAACGCCATGGATGCAAAACGTTCAGTAACTCAGAGTACCGATCAGGGACATGCGAACGTAACTATAACGATTCTAGATGAAAACGATAATCCACCGATATTTGAACGCAATGACTATTACGCTGGAGTTAATTCAATGGCGAACATAAATGACTTTGTAACAAAAGTGACAGCATCAGACTTGGATGTTGGTGATAACGGCACACTACATTATTACATTGCCAGCGCAAATCTTTACAAATATGGATCTGAGAAACCTAGTGGTTCTATAGTTCCAAGTCCATTTAATGTTACGCAAGATGGCAAAATCCTTACCAGTGGATATATGGCAGAGTACAATCAAGACAGGTTCATCATTGAAGTTGTAGCAAAGGAAATTGTTATTCCAGAACGATACGCTATGACCAAAGTTCATGTAAGTTTCATTGCAAATACTTTTATATCCATAGTTCTGGTTACTTATTTATTTCTATGATCAAGGTCTGGGTTTTCGAGCCAACACAACTGATAAGGGTAATTTTGTCGCGACCTCCTGAAGAAGTGAACCGCGAACGTGATGAAATTGTATCAGAATTATCAAATGTGACGCAAAGCAGAGTTGTTGTGGATGATATACGGTACCATGTGGATGCATCAGGTCACATTCGAAGAGAATGGTAAGCAGAGTTCTAAATAGGTTCTTAATGTATTATTTTGTTTCTTAGAAACATATTTTAATTCTACAGGTGCGACATGTATTTACACGTTGTGGAACCAAAAACCAATACTATAGCTCCTATTCCTCAAGTACTGAAGGTTATTGATGCCAAATATGATTTCTTGAAAGACTACTATGCAGGCTTCGCTATTGAAAATGTGGTGGTAAATACTTTTTCTGTTTGAAAATGTCATTATACGTATTCATATATGTAACAATATTATAGTTCTGATAATTTGCAATTATTACAGCCTGCGTACGCTGGAGTTCAAGAAGAGTCATTTGATCCTGCATTGGCAGCTTTGATAGCCTTATTGGTGGTGCTGTTAGTTGGTGCTGTCACAGTAATAGTAGTCTGCTGTTGTTTACGTCACTGGTACATAGCAATGATCTAATGAACTTAACTCATACTACAAGATACCAACACTATTTTATCATTTTAGGGTAATCACTGTACCAAATGATATCCGAAAGAAGGATGGTCTAATAAAGAAGCAAATCATCGATGAATTGAATACTACAGAAAATCCTTTGTGGATTGAACAGTGAGTAGACACAAATGATGTATAAGAAATTAATATTGCTTAGCATATATTAATCCTGATCGTCTTAGGAAACTTAAACTGTATGAAGAACAAGAGTTAACGATGCAAGTATTCAGTGAACCTGAAGGAGGACTAGGTACAGAAAGACGTGGAAGTGGGGTTAGCGTCGGTATAGGTGATACGTCCCAAGATAACACTTATGCTACCATTCAACGTCCATTGCCTACAAGCAGGCATCGTCCAACAACGCCAGATTACACGACACTTCCAGGAAACCACAATGTATGTACAGATGCAAACCTAACCTAACCACAATGTATATGACAGTTGCAAACCTAACCTGATCACAATGTACATAACTAGTAAATGCAAACTTACAATATAAGCTTGTGATACTTGGAGTAAACATGTATGTTCTTTTGCAGCTGTACGAATCAGCGATGGGTTTCCAAGGATCAACATTCCAGCCATCGTCAAGTGTAATACCTCAACTTACACTTGACCGTGATGGCCAACCCCAGTTCGTTTCAGGATTAATATAAGTTAGGTACTATACCAATTTCTTTTCTCAATTAGTAATATATTTTTGTTATCATACGTTGTGCCTCTTTATCCGCGGCTCTAACTACTGCACGCGTCTTCCCGAAACGACACTTGTTACGTACACACCCTTTCTACCAATAATTAGGTAATATCGTTAGGTTTACCTACGAGTAGATCGGTGTGCAAAGTAAGGATTATCTTGAATTGTGCGAATTAACTGTGTAACCCGCTATTTCAGTTTGAACCCTACAGTAATCAAAAACCATCAGACAACATTACGACGAACGACGGTCAATATTATTGAAATAAATATTTCCCTGTAGGCGGTACGTGCATCTATACACGTACCCTTGGGTGTAACGAAGGTTCTCTTGTATGGCGAGAATTTGTCATTTGCCTTCAATTTTTGGAGAACCCGGTGAAACTTTATGAATCCAGGAAAATACAAGAACCTTGGACTTCCTCTTGAGAGCCTAAGTTGCACCTGATTGTACGTTCCCAACCTGTGGTCTCATCCAATCGACTTTTATGCTCACTGTTAAGAATATCAAAATTGGTAGATAGATGACACTGTGAAATAGTTTAACGAGCGAAGCTTGGCACGACAGATATATGTATATAAATGATGAATGTGTAGATTCCGTCCAGCGCAGTTTTTTTATTACCTCCTCGCTAGTTTAGTATTTATATAACTTATGTACGTTTTACACGTGGAAAGGAGAAGAAAAAAACGAACGTACTCAAAAGTGTCATTACTCTTTGCGTCAACACGAACGAATCACTGGCATATCATGGCATTAACATAACAAAATATCGTAGCTGAAAAACAAGTTCATAATGTTAAAGGTATTTGTAATAAGAAAATGAGAAAAATTCAATCGAAATATCGTCATATACATTATATATGAATTTGAGTAGATTGATTAATTTAAAAATGCAAATTATATTTATCTAAGTTAGGATTAAATTTTGTCCAATTGATCTGTGATTTCCTTATGTCCGCGTATGTGAATACGTAGCGATTAACTTCGATTTGAGATTTAGTAAAAGAATCATTGGCGATGGGCGGATATAGTCATATTATAGCTAGTTAAACAGAGACATTCGCATCGAATTTCGATATCGTCCGGATAATGTAATACGGATTGTTTGCGAAAACCACATCACTTGTCATTGTTTCAACCGCCCTTAGCAAAATATGCGTGCATTGGAATCTGTGAAATTAGTTGCGAATGGATCTCATAATATGTCATGTACTCGGAAAAAAAATAATATAACTACGATCATGTTATGTCTATGAGCATTTAATTAAAAAAAATTATATTAATCTCACGATATTACTAGATGGTTATGAATAATCTAGTTAGTAAATAGTATCGGTTTAATTGATTATAAATTTATTGTAACATATTTTATGTAAACCATTGATAAAAAATATTCATACATCAACATTCGTTACATCTCACACCATATGGAAATAAATATTAAAACGTGTGTACGTTTAATTTTCTTCTCGATATTTATACATTTACCTTTCATTTGTACATTTGGCGCTTTGTTTTAAAAAATCATCAATATAAAAGCATCATCACACACTACATACATAAATATGTTATCAAGGACACATTTAAATTTTTTATTCATTTTGCAAATTTGACACTTTTGTTAAAAAACCAAATGTTAAAATTATTAGTTGTATAAAAAGTATTTGTAACAAAGTTTTGTTAATATAAATATAAGTCAACTCGGCTGATGCATTCCTTACTTTTAAGTACACAAGAAACTGATTGTATATTTCCTTAATTCTTTACCATTAACTGATGTTAACGTTAATGTTGTTTCATACAATGGACCAGTGAAAGGAACAATATGAACATCGATTGGAATATTTTCTGTAGTATTCATTACATCTAAATTCGTATATAAAATATTGAAAGATTGATAAAATGTCAATGTAGTTTTTACATTTTCAAAAACAGAATGAAATGTACTAACCACTTATAGTAAGTGTTTTAGGAATATCAAGTATACCAGATGTCTTGGATGTTGTTACATTGTAAGTAACTTTTCTATCAAATATATGAGAAAATTCCAATGCAACAGAATCCCCAGCGTATCCTCCCATTAACCAACGAATCAAATGTAGACCAATATAAGTATCTTCATCGTACAATAAATAAAAAGTTTTGACACTTTATACGTAATGTCAATTTCAACTTATAATTTATTATTTCACGACTACATACCTAAGTATCGTGACCAAAATATGCGTTCCTGCTGATCAAGAGTTTTTTGGAACATGTGAGCAACGCAGCCCCAAAGTTGCTTGTTTTTAGAAGGTATAGGCACTACCACATGCAAAGGACACTGTTCACTATATTCACTATCCATATCCGTGCAAATACATTGGTCTTCTTCTACCTTCAATGTTACTACAATATTATCGATTATTGATGACTGCCAGCGTGAATTGATCTATATCACAGGAGAATAAATTATTACAAATATTGATGAGGACAATATTGATATGTTACAGCTCTACCTGAATAATAAAATCACCATGTTTTGATTGAAAAACAATCCAGAAATTTCTGTTAACTGGCATAATACATGCCACTGTGATCGATAAAATAGCTTGCGTACTATCTTCTTTTACTGTAATTGATGTTTGATTTAAAAATAGTCTTCGAGGTATCTTCCTCAAGCGTAGCTCAGACCATCGTGTTAAATTCAATGTACCTATAAAATACAGGGTAGGCTTCTTTTGGTTAAGAAGAAAGTAGAGATTTTGAAAGGTTAGGAAAAGTGGAGATTTTGGAATAACCAAAAGAGTGCTACGAATTACTTGGTTTACTCGGACGTTCTTCAGACATCCATATCTCATATTCAGTTGGATTTTCATAAGGTACATCAATATTTAAATTTTCGTCAAGAACCTCATATAATTTGCTGCTTATTGTGTACTCATTTGCTATTTCCAAAGTGTCAGCTTGACCCTCAAGAATGAATGTCTGATTTCTACCAAAGTGAGGGCCAATTGCGGCTCCACAGAACAGCAAGTAAGCTACAGTATACAACAGATACACTAAACTCTTCTTCACAAATTTCTATTCCATATTACCTTTGGTCTTTTTTATTTTCTTAGCATGAAACTGCAGCTTTATCACAGTGGTCTCATGAGCATTTAAGCGTATAACCGGTGATGAGGTTGCAGTCATAAAGAATTTATTACTATTTCCAAATAAAACTACCAAGAAACCAACATTGTGAGGAGTTGAATTTGTAAAATTTATTTGCCTTGTTGCAATCTCAGACAGAGGACAACTAAACCTAATCTAGAGATTGATGTAAGTATTAAATTGAGCAAGAAGAAATTATTGAATTAAATACTAACTTTAGCTTTTGGAATGTAAGTTGGTAATGTTTTGTATAAATATGTAACCAACATTAACAGTTTTACACAATTTGGGTATGCAATTTCCAATGGTGAAATTATAAAACCAAGTCGTATCTTCCTCCAAGTGTTTACAATGCATATTGCATTGTGTATTACCTTTAACGATAATTCAAATGATAAAATATTCAGTTGTCTAAAGTTATGAACAATTATTATATGAACTAAACACTATACTTCTTCCAAATTTCGTGGACTAATATATATGCTATTAAAACATTCTTCAACAAGAAAGGGACAGTAAGCAGCAGTGACCGTAATTAATACTAAGGAATCAGCTAAATCTTTATCAAAATTTTCAACGAGACGTGCATTCGCTACATCTTTACTCTGATGAGGATTCAATATGAATCGACGATCAATCATCCATTCTTTTGTACGTTCTTGTTCGTAATGATATTCCAACCATGCCATTAAAAATAACTCTTGCTGAGTATAATTATTATTACGTATTCTACGATCACCACATGATTGGATCATGTTCCGAATATTTCTCTCATGTATTTCACATTGCCTTGGTAGACTGTAAATCCGGAGAGAAATCTGAATATTCAACGTCTGATAAAGGATGTAAAGTATACCTGAATATTGAAGGTGAAATAACAGATGCTCGATGAACAGTAGATCGTCTAGAAGTGGGAACCGAAGTTGAACCAAAAACTGACGGTTCTTTTTTCACTTTTATATCAGAAATAGGTAGAAGAACAAAACATTTGTATGTCTGTAATATTACATCTAGCCAGCACTGTTTGCTTCGTGATTCGAATAACCGTGGTGATAACTTCTCTGTTGATGTCCATTTCGTTACTGATGCTTTTTGCATTTTATTCTGAAATACAAAAATTGATTAAATAAACAATTTTAGATATAGAACAATTCAGTACACCTAGCTACAACTTCCTCTGAATCCCAAGGAACACAATGGGTATCCAAGGAGAATCCAAGGAGAGCCCAAGGACAACATAACCTAAAACTAAAGAAGATATTTTGTACTTACATTAGTCCTTACATTCTCTGTAATAATTACATAGCTCTCATAACTCAATAAGAACTGAGCTGAGACATGACACACGTGTGCTCCACATGTTAATAAATAATTTAGGATAGCATCAAAAAGATTGAAGTAATAGTACGCTCTTTCAATATTATCATCTGGTGGAGTTTTACTGCAACATAAAATTTAAACTTAATTATTTATTTTTCAAAATAATATTATAACACAAAACAATAATTCCAAATAATAATACTTACGGCATTTCAATATAATCATACAGTGTTGGACCTACAAATAATTCAAGTACATCCAAGAAAAACCATTCATAAATAGGACCCTTCTGACTTCTACTGCTCCTGGCCTGCGGTTGTTTTTTTGTATAAGATTTTGACATTGATACTGTCATGCCCTTTGGGATATCAGGATAAAAACTGAATCTGAAAGGGGTGGTGTACAACCATTCTTCAGCAGCCTTTAACGCGTCGTTCATATGTCTCTCGAAATTGCTATAATTGCAATAAATTATTGCTCAAAGAAGAACTGATGAATCCAGAACAACTTACTCTCCCTCGTCGTCAGAAGGAAAAAATGGATACTCCAGTTGTACAGAGCACTTTTTACCATGAGACGATGAAACTTTTGAGGAAAGACCTGATAGACGTTTCTCTGAATGAGATTTCTCTATCTCCTCATCAGATTTATGGTCATCACTATTCATTTCTTTCATAAACGTCGATTTTTCTAAAACCGGTAACTTGAATCTAGATTCCAACAGTTTCTTAAGCGATCCTTCACTGTGTGCTTCAATATAAGATAGAATACTAATTCTTGGTCCTGACAACTGTCTCTGAAAATAATTCAAATTATTTTCTGTATCAACATACTTAGCAAGTTTAAATTCTATTTTATATCTTACCTGTCTACCAGTATATGAGCTCTGTTGATCATCCTCATCATCTTCTTCATCCGTAATGCTATCAGATAATTTGGAAATATGGGATACTCGTTTATCCTGGTCCACATACCATTCAAACTCACTCCAAGGTTTTCTGATATGTGCATGCGTTGTTAATGAACAATTATCCGCAATAGCATACATCCTCACAAGACAAGAAGCTAATCTACTTTCATCGAAGAACTCAACAGTCAAACGGAAAGATACAGGCACAACACTTTTGAACATTACTTTCAGTTCCAGTTCTGAGTACCTTGTAATATTTTATCCCCACATTACAACAGATAATATCATAACACAAACATTTTATATAAACTTACTCAGAAGCTGGCACAATGTTATCATTTATAAAACAAACGGTCAAGGTATCTTCCTTATATATGCCACTAGTATAATCAGGCAGTAATACCCTTGCCAAAATTCTTGAAACTTTGTCAAAATTCCTTGTGATCAATCGAAATGATTTTTCAGACATTGTATCAAGTGGTACGGGAGTGAAATAAATGTCTGCAGGCTCAGCACTGATAGATCTCACAGGACATTCACCGCTCAGAGATAATTTGTTAAACATTTGCCCATCCAGTTCCCCACTTACAAAGATCGGTGCTTCCACACTAAAGTTCCCTTGTGATTTTGAATGAAATGCTAGTAGAAAAACGCACTTCTCTCCTTGCTTTAGCGTACATTCAATAGAATTCAATGTTACAGTTGCTTCTTTGCCATGAGACCATCTGATAGAAAATGGACAATCGGGTAGCAGGAAGTCGCTGGTGTCTATTCGAACCGATCTTATTTCTGCTGGCTTACCATTCTCTATACAGAATTCTTCAACCTTTGAAAATTTCAATCAGTGCTACATTATGATGACAAGCTTCTGAAGTTTACCTGGTTGTTCGCGACACTGAAGTGAAACTGTAACTTGCTAAAATGGACAACGTATCCTGCAACCGTGCAATCAATGGATATCGATACAAGTTTGGAAGGTATATTGTGCAGGTTTTCTTTAGATATATTCTCGTAGTGCTTTAAAAATGGTTTTAAATACTCCACAACTCTAAGTGACCTTGGTTCCATTTCCACTGCTGGGCCAAGTATGTCGTTGACGACTATTGGAAGATAGAAAGCATAACTAGCGAAATCGATCGGATCGAAATGAAGGTGGAGAGTCGTGCTGGACCCTGGCTGGATGAAAACATGTTCATGTCCTGTTCATAAAATATAACTCTTAATTAGTGAGATGTAATTTCTATTTACAAGGATAATGAAGTAACTATCATCATACAATTATTAAAGTGAAGTATACCTAAACCAGAGTCTCTTCTATCCGGTGAAAGAGAAATTCGAAACTCTGGATAATTTTGTAACAAAAAGTTCAATTTCAGCAAAGTAGTTCCAGCATTTATGGCAGTTATTAAATAATGCTGATAAGCAGCTGCACTTATTCTTCTCAAACTGATTGAATGTGGATGTAACTTTAACTGGGGATAGCATACACTTCCTTCAATTTTTAATTCCAGATGTAAACATCCTTGCACTATGACATGGATTACCGTAGAGAAATTAAAGCACAGGCTCAACGTGAGATTCAGCTAAATATAAAAATAATGGAACCACTTGTATTGCATAGTAACAATGTACTTCTAATTAGAGGTTAGTATATATACTTCAAGAGCAACCATCCCACGTGGTAATATTACGCCATGATGAGAAAGAACATTGCATCCGTACATCAAAGATGAAGTATCAACCTCGTACACAGCTTCGATAAAGTCAAAGTTCCTCAAGAATGCGACTACTTCCACTGGGAGGTTAAGTGGTATTTCGCCGACATTTATAGTGTCTTCAATGAAGCTCACTCTTGGTGTCCGAGTTGGAACACTGAGTCGTACCCCAAGATAGGTACCACCTTCGCACTTTAATGTCAACTCTGTGTTATGAGATCTTACAGCATGAGGCTTGTAATACGCGTAGCAGAGTAATGAAGTGTTTTCACGAATGACACCTAAATATGGTTCTATGAAAAAGTTACACGTTGCTGGTACTTCCCACCTGAAATAATAAATATAGTCAATAAATGTAATTGAGTTTCCTAGCCTTGGTAAATTCATTGGTAAGATTATTACTTGAAATGAGTTTTTGCATCCAACTTATTTCTAATGCGAAGTGCAATGTCTAATGGTTTATAAACTTCTTCTCCAAACCATTCTGTACCAAGCACTGCTTCACGTGTGTTGAGTGACAAATGTTTGTGAACAACGTCAGCAGTAACTCCTAGCTCGAACGAGTGATTATCATTAATAATGTAATCAATGTAACCATTAAATTTACCAAGATGATGTGCTCGAAATTCGACTAGCCGAGTAACGAGTGCACCAGCTGGTAAAGTAATTAAATTTCCCTCTGGGAATTGGATACATCTGACCGACAAGCTCGTTAGGCGAATCATGACTGGAAAATTATTCTTATTCTCAACAATTAGCTGTCGGTAATTGTGACTTTTTAGTACAACCTGCAATGAATAGTTTTTGAAAACTGATGGAGAAAATTGATGAGAATTACTTACCATTCCAAAAGTGAACATTGAAGGATATATATGCACATTGTATATTTGCAAAGGAGACAAAGGTATTAATACTTCAGTATTGATTCTTGATGATAATAATTCTCTTTGCAAAGCAGGATTACATTCTACTATTTTTGACATGTCTTTAAACTTCCACTTAGGGGAACCAATAACTCTGTCTATTATTCCACTGTCTGGGTCTTTTTTGACTGGTTCTACTCTTCTATCCTGAAAACATTTATTATGAAATGTTTGAAAATTTTGGTATTCTCATTTACACTTTTCCTTTGATTACTTTGATATTACCAGAAACTGTGACAGTGATGGTTTTCTAATACCCCTTGAATGATCATGGCGTTCTATAATAAGTGATAATGTAACATGAATATAACTATACTTGATATACAGCATTGTTTATAAGTGCAATATTTTTTAATTTACCTGCTAAGTTTTTTGGTAAAAGTATCATGCTCACTATACATTCTACAGAGTAACTTCCTACTTTCAACTTTATCTTATCCCTGGTTGTCGTTGACTCATATGAATCTGCTACGGCATCAAAGTAAATTTTGAAGGGGGAGGAAACTAAAAACAAAAATTGACAAGTGCTGTTTTACATGTATCTAAATTCCTAGACATAAGTACTATATACCATCATATACCATTCTCTTTTCCTTTGATTTTCAGAAGTACTTCTATGCACCCTTCCGGTTTCAGTTCCATCGATTCCGGATGGCAATGCACTGCTGTATTACGTACAAAACGATATATGACCGGCGCAAATTTCAAAGGATTCAATATCCGCACAACACGCTGAGAAATTTCACCGACTTTAAGATCCCCAAAATAAACTATATCTGGTTCGAACTTCAAATATGCTTCTTCGACTTCGCCGTGAAGACAGAGTCTTATCGTGTCATGTACAGTGCATTCCATGCTCGATGATGAAGACGTCGAAGAAGGGGAGTTCATAATCGTTACGCTATCTGTTAAGTTTTATTACAATAAACCCAATGTATATAAAATAACCTTAAATTAAAATAGTGAATGTTCACCGTTAATGTCGTAAGAAGATTGTGTTGCGGTTTCACTTGCAAGTAGTGCTCGTATTGCATCGCTTCCTAAATTTGTTGTTCACACAATTCATTTAATGTATACAAAGTACATTTAATCTATATAAAATGCAAAATACTCGGGATATTCTTTGTCTCGGTAACGTGTACCCTCACAATTCTGAGGAAAGCCATGAAATCGTTTTCTGGTCTGTCGGTTGTTTCTTTGATTTTCTGCCGCCATCGTAATAGCTTGCTCGTCGGCGTAAATCTAAAACGACGTAGAAATTAGTGCATACTGAAACAGCAGGTCCTTTTCGCTATGAAGGCTAGCTTACCCTACTTCAAAAATAATTCCTTCCATGGAACCCATACGGCCCTCAATTGGTCGAATTTCGAAAGCGCTATAAACAGGATATTTTTTACGATCAATATCCTATAAAAAAAGACAGAATACCTGTATAAGATATTGTTATATAATCTAAAAAATTATGAGATTATTTCATAACAATAAATGATAAAAAGTTACCCGAATGCATTTCACTTCGTTTTCAATTTCGCCAAGTACCACATAGCTGGCCACTTGTGAAGAAACATTTCGTAAAACCAATGAATCGTATTTTTTTGTGTTTGCTATGGTCAAAGAAAAATCAATTAGGGTAAAATCTCCAGTCGTATTGGGATGATAAACTATCAGCCTTGGTGTAATTACATTAACTTTGAGAGGTATACGTATATTTGGAACTGATTTTATCCTGGAAAGAAGAAATATAATGAATACTTAAGGAATTGCATAAGAAAAAATCAACACCATCTTTGACAATTTTTTTTTTGGAAGTTATGAAGTAATTCAGAAATCTGTTAGAAGTTCTTTGTTATATATATCTCAGAGTAAGTACAAATATTTTTTTAATCTCTGTCCGCAAGAAAATGACGGCGTTGCAGCTGCCTCACGGTGGCTATCTATGAAAGTGTAAGTCACTGTGAGGCAGCTGCAGCACCGCCATTTTGTTCAAAAAAGGTAATTAAAAAATATATTCGTATACCTTAGGATATGTACAATAAAAAACTTTTTATAGAATTTCTAGTTATTTTACCATTTTTCCAGAAAAAATTGTCAAAGATCACTGTAATTTTTTAAGTAACCAATGAAGAAGAATTACCAAAATTCACTGTAAAAGATGCCTTCTTTCATACCAATTAATTCAACTGTAAGTTGAAATGGTCTGTTAGGTCTAACAACACCACGTAAAGGCTTCACTGCAACCTCTAAATCATTTTTACCAAGATCAATCGAGAACCTATTAATTTTACATTGCAAAGTAGTGAACGAAAATTCGAATATTTTAAACTTAAGTAAAAAACATGATATATATATATCATTGATACCTTGTGCTTTTACCACCTTCGTTTTTCAAAGTTAATAATTTAATTCCAGAGGAATACCCAATATCAATAATTCCAAAATCAATTGCTTTTGGTTCAACACTGATGCCTTCTTCCAATAACTTGCACACTACTCGATAATCGAGGGTCTTCCCATTAATCTCAATAGGAATCATTGCACGCAAGAAAGATGGTCGCCTGAACGAGTATATCACGCTTGTGGACACACTCAAGCCTGGATTAAGCATCACCCCATTTTTCAATATTTTTACTTGGAACACCTGCAATATAAAAATCTAAGGACTTAACCTAGAACCTTCTATCACACTTTTCCTCAACTAAAGAAATGGACTTAGAGCCTCACATTGTACAGGGACATTAACTTACAATTGATTGTGGCTGTCGGAGTCTGACAAAGGCTGGTTTAACGCCTGTGTTCTTAATAACGATACGTTGACGACATGTAATTCCCTCGCTAGCTTCTTGAAACTCAATAAAACTAGGGGTGATATGGACATTGTCATGTACAGCACTTGGTATTGCATCACATGAGTCCCGAATACTTTTCACTTCAACCCCTTCCTGTATAAGGATAATGGAGGTGCTTGTCTAAAAACATTTACAACAAAATAAAGATTTAATCTTTCTGAAAACATCAAACATAACTATACTTAATACAAGTATTGCTAAAATACTGATACGGCACTCTTTCAAGAGCCACTGTGAGGCAAGTCCAGTGCCATTACTTTGTTCATAAGAACAGATAAAAAAATATTTTCATGTATTTTAAAGCGCACACAAAAAGAGACTCGTACCAAATTTTGTATTAGCTTCATAACTTTTACCAAAAAAAATTGTCAAACTTTAATTTTTTACACCCAAAATGTAACTCAATACATTGATATAATTTCTCACCTTACTTTCTATTCCTCTGAGCGACATTTTTATATTTAGTATAAAAATAAAGTAATCAAAAGTTTATATTCATTTTCTCTTCATAACCAACTTTGGTACTTTCCAGCGTTACCAACAACGCTCTCATAACGATTGTTTATCTATAACGCTAAATTTCACTCGCTTATTGATTCAATAGATTCACGCCTATTATGCCTCATTCATAACTTAACTATTAAGGTGTCAATGGGCAAAAATTAAAACAACATGTATGTAAGTATCTGACCTGATTTATTCGACATATACAACTATTAATACAGATGTGTCATGATGATACTTGATTTACGCTTAAGCAACGACGTAATGTCCTGCTTATACGATGCAATGTTTTAAATAGAAGAGACAGAAGGGCAAAGTAAGAAAATTATAGTAAATATCATCGAAAGAGAAAATAGTTCGTCCGTGGCAGGTTATCATGCGGCTAGTATGCTGAAAGTTTGCGAGGCAACTTACGACAATACACATTTTTATTATTTTTCTACTTATCAATAAGCGTGCAAATTTTAGAGCATACGTAGATCACATGAAGTAACCGAATCCAAATGTACGTTTTATAGCATCCCAGTAATACCTCTCCCAGTTCTCTTTCGTCGATTCTTCCTCGCTGTAAAGCAATATATTTTATTAGTTTAATATTCATATAGGAAGAACTATGCAGTGCAAAGTTCACTTTGGATTAGACATAGCAATGTAAATAATTTACCTAACAGGTACACCTATTTGCGTTAGATTAACTTCCGTATGATCATTTTTCTCAGAAATGTCAATTGTCACGTCGCTAAAATGACCGTCAGGCCACTGTTTGCAGCGCCATTTTTGTACAATCTTGGTAGGTGTGATTTCTACAAAGTCACCATGTATATTACCGCCAAACAACTCAAATTTGCCTGCCTTTTTCAATTCTAACTTTACCGGTCCTTTAGTAAATGCTTGAACCATCTGTACAAACAAATATCATCGAATGAAGACATTATTCAATTACTAGAGTAATCACAACAAACTGGAATTATAAACACAAAATGCTTTGCAATAAATGCATACCTTAAGACAAGCGATGCAATAATTGAAAAATAGTAACAAATTTGATTTCGGAAATAGTTAGAATTTAATTCGTAATACTAGTATGTTATAAAATACTAGTATGTTATAAAAATTATTTTACCTCAGTTGTCGTGAAAACGTTGTAAAACTCTTCAGCTCGACACTGAAACTTTTGTTGTTGTTTAATTGTTGTTGTTGAAATTTTACATCCTATTTCTTTTTTATTATTTGACGATACCACGGTGGAATTCATTTGTATCTGCAACGATTAATTAAAAATTAATCATGCATTTACAGCAGTGTAACATAATAATAAACGTGTTACCTACTTTTGCATTCAATCCAGAAGTGATATTCGAGATATTATCTTTCACATTATCTTTTTTAGGCAAGATCATTCCAACTGTGAATTCTAATCCAACAAAAGTTGAATTAATATAATCAATATCTTTCATTTTTCTCCTACCATAATTTAAACTCTAAGACTTACCTTCTTTTAAAGAAGAAACATATTTTTTCAATTTTTCTCTAATTGCTTCTTTTCCTTTCGTATGCAGGAAATGTTTTACTAATTCTCCTTCGTCTGTACTATCTTTTAAGGTAATTTCAATCTGTAAGTAATTAGAAATGTTTAATAAATGTTTATTGATATAGTGAAGTACTATATTACAGTGAAACTCATTACTTACATCTACTTCAGAAATATCATTTTCTTCTGATAAGTTTGGAATGTTGATTTTACCCTCAATCTTCTTGTTAGATTTTCCTTCAGATACCCATTTCAAAATAATATTCCATTCATAGAAGAAGATTAATTTACCTTTTCGATTATTTGCTGTTGCTTCACCTTCACATTTTTCTACTTCTGTTACTATACAAGAAACTGGAAACAACAATTTTAGATATGTATAATCAATTCAGTATTAATAATCATTAAATAAATTAAAAATGCAAACCTCCATCTCCTTCTATTTTCATGTTGGTAAATAAGTCCTTAAGCTTTTCAATGGACCAGGCACAGGCATTTTTTTCCGTCCTTAAAAAACATAAATATTAAAAACCTTGAGACTAAGATATATGCATATCTAATATAGTGTTATGTAATTTCTTCAGTGGGATATATAGAATTAATGAAGATTCTAATAATAAATTCAATGAAGTTCAATGAGAAATTTACTAGGTAAAAATTCATTTGTTAATATGATTATCATTCAAAAAATAGTATGCATATAAAGAAACCATAAATTTATTACTTTCTGTAAATGGATACTATATTAGCTATAAATAAATACACAGGTTTCTCTGAAAGTACTGCTTTTTAATATCCTTTACAAATTATAATAACAAAAAATATGTATAATTTGCATTGACAGATAAACCATTTTAGAATCTTAATTCTAAGATAAATGTTGCAAGAAATGTACTTCATAAAAAATGAGTAACAGTAATAACAGAATTCTTCATAGGGTTTTATTATTTATTTATTTATATATTTACATGAACAAAAAGCCATTAATCATGATGTAAATTCAATGTAATTTAATTCCATTTCTTCTATAATAAAAATGAAAACAATAGAAATAAGTACATTGTAATAACATTATTTAAAGATGATTATGTTAAGATAAACCTATTTTTTGAATACATTAAATTAGACTACTCATTTATTTTATTAGTATTATGAACTTACGTAACTTATGTAAAGAATTTGTTTAACACTGCTAATTTAAAACTAAATGAACTAATACTATTACATGCACATTTTCTCATACCAGTGCCAGTTATTAACATTAGTAGCGTCAGGTCTTTCTTCCACAATCCAGCGTGGATCTCCTTCTCCCCACTTAGCCATGCCACAGAAATTATGAACTGTATAATACTGCTCAAATATATTAACTAAAATAAATAATTATTCCTAAAACATACAATAGATATTGAATTATTTATAACAGAATAATTATTATGAATGATTAATAAATTTGTTATATGAAGATAAATCATATAGAATATTAACTTTTGCAGCATGGCATATGAATCTCAGAATCTTTAAAAATTTATCTATTTTGCTTAAATGAATTATATAGAATTATAACTCTGACTAAAATACCATAAAATACATGTGCAAAAAAAATTTTTTTAAATTCTTAAATTCAAAATTTATAAAATATTTCAGTCATAGGGAGTAGAGAATGTAAAAATTAATAAAAGTAATTTAAATTATAGTACTAACAAAAACTTGATCCAACTTTTTGTTTAAAAGAAACTTCATTGCAATGGAAACCAACAAATTTATACATACAACGTAGAATATGACAAAATTAATTGAAATGTAACAAATGTTGTTAATCGAATTTCAAGTTTCAGAAATGGAACGATTCAGTTTCTGCACTGTCACGAAATTATCAATAAAAACTGAATGAATAGATCTAACAAAAGATTTTAATAGGAAAGACCGAAAATAGGAATTAACTACGAAATAATGAAATCGGAGCAGCAGACGTACAATTTTACACAAATGACTTTGAATCGAAAGAAAATGCAGGAACCATAACCTGCAAATTGTATACACAATATATACGTTTTGAATGAGTGAAAAATATTGTACTTTACATAACGCAGTTTTTTACGTAATGTCAATAATATTTTACTCACCGAAATTTTAAAAAATTTCTCCGACTAGAAAATAAATATACCAGTCACTTAAATATTTACTTATGTACAATTGAAATTCGATTTTAAAACAGATCTTATTTAAACGCTCAACATATTTCTTTACGAGAAAACAACTATTTTTAGGAAATCCCAAATATGCACGTGAACGTCAAAATTCCTCTCACGAAGTAAATAATGTGACGAGGTAACCTTCCTTACTAAACTCGAAATTACTAAAGAAACAAATTTAAACGTGAAGGGGGATCTGAAATCCTTCTAGAAATTTCGAGAACTTATGGAAAAGAAAATACACTAGATAGGAAACTAGGCTAGGAAATTAAGATACTTTATTACTCGTTTCACAATAGACCATACCCAACTTGCGCAACTCGGTTAACTTCAATGGGATTCCTTCCACATTGTGTGATTCTTCTACCGTACACCATTGCTTTTATACCCTGTGGACAAATGGAATGACACTCAAGTGTGAATTGATTTTTTCTAGAAACAATGGGAGAAAAGTGGAATTGCAATCAAAATTTACATTCATAATAGAAGTATAATGTGAATTTAATGTTCGGGAAAAAACATAATTTAGTGTGAAGTACATAATTTGGAAGATTGAAAGTATTTTGGATTTCTCATTGTTATATCCATTTTAAAATTTATATTTTTCGCGGTTTTTTTCCAAAGCGGTAAATTTAACGTCATCTAACGGTAAATGACAGAACTTGCAAAATGAAAATATACTTTTCTTCAAAAACTACGACTTTTATTCTTTTTTAGGGCGCATATTTTACGACATCAATAGAAATGAAGAAATGCTATCATAATGTGTTAAAAAAAAATGAAAAATATTGCATTTTATGGATTGCAATCCTTGCCATCTAGTGATAGAGGATCAGAACTAACGGAACCAAATTACGATTACAAAATTAGCATTTATGTTAACTCTCTCGATTCTTAACACTCTTAAATCATCTAAACGTAATTAATATTGATTTATGAGGAAAACTGATGTATATTATCGTCTACTTACCCAAGAAAATCAATATTAATTGAATTCGGTCGATAAAAGGTATAAATGGCGCCTTCGATTAAATGATCACCAGGATGTCGCTCAATGTCACAAATTGTATAAGGGCGCATGTGCATTGTATCTAGTTACATAATAAATTCGAGCCAATCAAAGTCGATATGTGCAACTTATTGCTGCAATTATTTAAATTTATTATTTTTCTTAACTTAGTCTTGCAGGTATGTTGAAAAATGATTGATAATTAATATATTACCATATATTTTATTCTAATTAATAATTTAGTTATTTATTTACAAAATTGTTGTAACCACTCAAATTCATCATTTTTATTAATTTACTCTGGCAGGTACGTTGCAAAATGGTTGTCAATTAATATATTACGATATATTTTACTGTAACTCATTATTATATAAATTAATTATTGTAAAGCATTATTTTCACAACTTTGTCGAGCGAATATGTATCTTGTTTATTCTATTCTTTATTTTTATGTAATTCTTTGTAACTATTACCATAGAGACTCAATACAGTGTGCGAACTGTTTTGAACACATAATAGTCTCATATTTTTCGAAAAGTTTCAATGCTGTTAAAAATTCAAATTTACGCGCGGTTTTTAAAACAGTGACGTCATCATGGAAAATGGCCGTGGCGCCATCTCTTCGGCGAACGGGGTGAACTACACACTTTTGAAACTGCAGTTTAATTAGTTCTCCACACTGCCACAGGGAGGCGCCGCGTCTGTTTTTTACGCTAATTCAATTAATATAATTCATTTTATAAGTATAATTAATTATAATATGAATCGAATTGCATCGAAGTGCAAAATTAATTAACTTCGAATTGTTTTGACTTTACGAAACTATTATTAATTAATAAATAATAGATAATAATTAATAATAATTAGTTAATAATAAATAATAAATAATAAAAAACTATTATTATCAATAGTTTTCAAAGCTTCGCATTTTATTATAAGATCTGTAAATCTTCTACATTTGTATAAGTGTGTAATTTGTAATATATGCATACATAATCCAAACACTTTTACAAAAGAAAATGTGGAACAAAATTATAATCGAATTCGTAGCTCTTAGCTCGGTATAGTTTTCTAAAGACTTTTTAAAAAATCTTTAGAGAACTATACCGATTACCAGGTCACACCACGTGGAGGTAGCTACGATAGTGACCCACCCTAACTCCAAATCCCATCCACCCTCCAAATGCAACCTCATTTATCAGAAGGATAAATGAGTTCCGACTCTACTTAGCTCATAGGCTCGCATATACAAGTTCTTTACCACAATCCAGTAAAGAGCTTGTATCACACACGCTCACACATATACATTAACTTAATACTAATCGCATGGGATCCCACACGCATACGCTTAACTTATTCTAAACGCCGCACGGTACCTCTCATTCTAAGATTGCACTCAAATAATCTATGACGAAGTAAAAAAGCAAAGGGGCAAAAAAGAAAGTTAGAA